TTATGCCCTTTTGATGTGGACCTTGTATGCATAGATGCTCAAAGGGGGTAGGTTTCCCAAGAGTCAACGTGGGGGACATGGTGGAGAAAAAGTGACATATCTGGAGGTATATATATATAAATATTGAGAAGGCAGATCTTTTTTCTGGAGATATGAGAATGGTTGCAGCTTACGAATAACAGGATGTACTAGGTGGCACAGTTGGAAGAGCTTGGTTGTGACTCAAGGGGACATTTGGGGCACCGCCAAACTATCTGGAAGGTTGGGGTTAAAAAGGATATAAGTCAGTGGGGAGCAATCAGAGGTCAGTGCAAACCTAGTTCTACATTTCTGGCAAATATTCATAGAGAATTGCATGGGGCCAAGGAACAGAAGTAAGGTTAGTACCCAGATATTTTAGAGAGCGGGTGCACCATCGATACGGAAATGATTCTTGAAGGGACGAGAGGACAGCTGGTGGGATATGGAGTGGGAGTGCTACAGTCTTGGAGGTGTTAACCCTGTAACCGAGAGAGTCCCGAACTGTCGGAAAAGTTTATGCAATGCTGAAAGGGAAATTTGGGGATTTGAGAGTGTAAGGAGGATATCATCCACAAAAAGGGGCAAATTTGTATTCACGGCCATCAAACGTTATGCTTTGTATGTCGGGATGGGACTGGAGTTCAATAGCCAGTGGTTCCAAACAGAGAATAAACAATAGAGGAGAGAGAGGACATCCGTATTGCGTACCATTCGACATCTGGAAAGGATGTGAGAGAAAAGAGGCCATTCTGACCTGTGAGGAAGGATAAAAGTAGAGAGCTTTTAAAGCTGCCACAAAAGGGCCAAACTTCTCCAAGACCATAAACATATAAGGCCAGCTGAGACGATTGAATGCTTTTTGGGCATCCAAGCTCAATAAAATAGTGGGAATGGAGTCAACCAGATCAATAGATCTCCTGGTGTTATCCGCTGCATGTCTGGCAGGGACAAAACCTACTTGGTCTCTGTGTATGAGTTTGGAGATGAGTTTAGACAGCCAGTTGGCTAGGATCTTAGTAAAAATCTTGTAATCAGAATTCAGTAGAGCAATAGGATGGTAATTATCTAAGATAGAATGGTCCTTGTAAGGTTTGGGAATTACAGAGATGTACAGTATGGACGGGAAAAGTCAGCTTGGGGAGTAATACCTCTAAAAAGGTTTGTGATAGAGAGAAAGAAGGTGGGGAGCCAGGATACCAATGAAAGTCTTATAATAAGAGTAGGGATGTCCATCTGGTCCCGGGATTTTGCATGAGGGAGATGTTTGACTGTATCAAATAGTTCTTCAGATGAGATGACAGCATTGAGGGCCGCAATATCAGAAGACGAAAGCTTTGGCAACAATAGAGGGTCAGAAAACCTATCAAAAGAAATGAGAGGAGGATGGAGGTCTGGGGTCAAACAGTTGTAAAGGGATTCATAATATGAGCCAAAAAGGGAGACCATTACATGAGGATCATAAGTAGGGCTCCCATTCGGCTGGACAAGGTGGTCCGGCACCGTAGAGGGGGACTGTGCTTTAAGTCTATTAATGAGCATACGATGAGGTTTGTTAGAAAATTCGTAGAATTTTTGCCTGACCCAGAGGAGAGATTTTGTGGACTTACAGGCATCAAGGGCCTTGATTTGGTCACGAAGAGAGGTCACTTTATACAGCCCAGAAATAAACGGCTTCGCAAGGAGTCTACGTTTAGCCAGGGTTAACTGGCAGACTAGAGCAATCCTGGCACCCTCTGAGGATTTCTTCAGGCGAGTACCCATGGAGATACAAAGGCCACGAAATACCGCCTTATGGGCTTCCCATACGGTTGAGGTAGATGTTGCAGAGCCTACAATAAGTTGAAAGTACATATCAAGTCCCTGAGGGAACTCAGCACGGAGATGTTCCGTGGTTAAAAAGGTCTCATTGAGGCGCCAATGGCCTGTTTTTCGCATAACATTAGGGAATAACATGTTTAAGGTCAAGAAAGCGTGATCAGACCATGTGATGGGATTGATGTCAGAGAAGAGGAGCTGAAATGAAAAAATGATCTAGGCAGGAATAACTACAATGAGGTGTAGAATAGAAGGTAAATTGTTTGTGGGTAGGATGTCGAATCCGCCAGGCATCAGAGACGATGCTCCCTGATCAATTTGCGGAAGGATTTTGAGGAGGAGCATTGTCGCTTCGAAGGAGTGGACTCGAAGAGAACCTTCCTATCTCTGTGGGGTGAAAGGATTAAATTAAAGTCACATTCCCCCTATAATCATATGTGGAGTGGAAAAGGAGCCTAATTTATGTTTGTGTGAGGAACTGTAACTGACCTGAGTTCGGAGCATAGAGATTCATTAAAATAAGGGGGGTGTCACCAAGCATACATTCTAAGATAATGTAGCGACCATGTTGATCGACCTTGGAGGAAACAATCTGAAGGGAGCAATGTGTCCGAATCAGGATTGCCACACTAGCCTTACCAGATGGGTCGAACGTGAATAGGATTGGGAAAAATACCTAGTGGCAAAACGAAAGGAGCCTGTTGATTTAAAATGAGTCTCCTGGATAAAAATAATATCTGCTCCTGAGGATCGGAATTCCTTCAAAGCCATCCACCGCTTCTGAACATAATTAAGGCCTTTAACATTATATGACAGAAGTCTTAAAGCCATCACAAAATGACAATGAGTACCAGCAGAAAAGATAAATGAGATACCATCGATGAGACAAAACAGAAAACTAATAACAATGATAGATAAACTAGAAACATTATAGTAGAGAACATAGATATCCGTAAGGATATGTACTTGGGAAGGACATCAACACCCAAGTCGTCCAGGCAAGAGACTGGACGGGACCGGGGGCAACACGACAACCGGAACATAACAGTCGTCAAACTCGGCCAAAAAAAAAAGAAAACATAACAAATAAAGGCACCAAGCACAGAAAGGGGAGAGGGAGAGGGGGAAGAGAGGAAGGGTGGGGGGGGGGGGGGGGAGGGGGGCTGGGGGGAGGAGGGGGGAGGGGGGAAGAGAGGGGATAAGGATACAACCCTGAAGAGTTCACAAATGAACACCTCAGCAAAGCATCAGGCAGGCTCATCGATGGAACGAGGGGGACGAGGACGTGGAGGCGTACGTGAAAGACACCTCCGGCCCCTATGAACTGGTGTCGAAATCTTGTTGGGAGTGACGGAAGGACGAGATGGAGTAGGCGGCAGGGAGGAGGAGTCTTCCGGTAGAGGAGGTAGCCCCAATTGCTTCAGAAAGGAGTCCGTCTCTAAGAGATCACGAAGAGTAACTTGGGAATTATCCTTGGAGACGACCAGCTTGAAGGGGAAACCCCAGTGATAGGGGACACGGTGATGTTGAAGATGCGTGGTAATTGGCTTCAGCGCCTGCCGTTTTGGTCAGGGTAATCGAAGAGAGATCACAAAAAAGCTGTAGCCTGTCCCCTTTAAATTCCAGGGAAGGGTTGTTTTGTACGAAGGCTAACAAAAAAATTAAAGCAGACAATGAAAATCACGCGGTCTGGTGCCGTCAGCAGGTCTGGGGCCTAGTGATCGATGGGCCCTGTCCAGGCGCCAATCCGCTTCTGGGACCATGGGGGCGGTTGCAGTGAAAAAACATAGGAGATGTCGGCGGAGTTGGGAATCGGCAACAGATTCGGACATACGGCGAAAACGGATGTTCTGCCGGCGTTCCCTGTTTTTTAGGATCCTCTTGTTGGAGCTGAATTTTGGACATGATTACGGATGTTCTGCCTCCGTTCCCTGTTTTCTGGATCCTCTTGTTGGAGCTGAATTTGGTGTGTTTCAGATATGCATTGTCTTCTTCTAAGACAGGGACGTATTTCACCAATTCATCAAATTTATTATCCAATTGGTCTGCAACGGTCTCCGATCTGAGCTATTTCCCCACGAAAATCCAAAGCCAATTTCCCCCACTTCAGCGGATATAGAGGCGGTAATATTGCATACTAATACAATTTTTTCCTCTAGTGAAGATACCGTGAGAGCAGGTGAAACAAGCGGATTGGCAGGAGCAGTGGGAGGCATATTCAATGCAGGTCGCTCTGTCGCCCCTTCTACAAGGATCAGGGGTTCGGATTCCTCCATCTGGGAAGCATGAGAAGGTGGAGAGGTTGGCTGTATTATATGGGTAGGTGTAGTACCTCCGACTGCCACTGGGGGCCCGGAGCTCGTTCTCGGGATTGCGGCCGAAATTGAGGCCGGGGATTGCGGCCTATGTAGAAACCGCTGCTGCAGGGAAGGCCGTGGCGGTGGGGAAGGGGGCTTCCCCATTATCACTGGGGATCGTGCTGGGCTGGGTGCCTGGCTTGTGTGACTCACCCAGGGATGCTTACAGGACAGCAGTGCGCCGAGGGTTAGTCTCTGATGCCGGGAGATGAACGAAGCTCAACGGGATGCGGCCGTCTTCATCCCTGGCCGCGCATAGCGCGCCCGAGATGCAGCTTCTTACCAACAACATCAGTGGTGAGACACTGGAACTCAGTGTCAGCCTATATACTCTGCTTCTACTCTTTAAATCATTTCTATGATTTCTAATCTGCCATGCAAATGTGCCTCTAGCTACCTATGGGTCTTCAATGCCTGGCATAGCTCTATGCCATACTGTTTACTGAACTCTGAACTAAGCTCAGTGGATTGCTTTAAAAAAGGCCTGGATTCTTTCTTAGATACACAGAATATAACTGGATACTAGCATTTATAGGTAAAGGTGACCCAGGGAATATCTGATTGCCTCTGGGGGAATCAGGAAGGAATTTTTTTCCCTGCAGGAGCAAATTGAATCATGCTTTGCTGGGGTTTTTTGCCTTCCTCTGGATCAACTCTGGGTATAGGATTATAACTAGAGATGAGCGAAGTATTCAAAAATTCGTTTCGGACTGATTCGGCGAATTCGTGAAAAAATTTTGAATCGAGTCGAATATATTCGCTGCGAATTTAACTTATAAAAGGGTGTTTCTAGGCTTCAGAGAGCCTTTATATTAGTGCAGAACACTGTACCTTTAATTTAAATGCCCTTGGAGTCTGCTGGGGAAGAGAAATAATACTGTCAGTCAGTATGACATGCAGATGAGTGCCGTCGATCTTAGAATCACCGCACACTTCACTCATTTGGGCAGTCACGGGGCCAAAACCAGAGTGTGGGAGCCACAGTGTGGCGGTGGAGGCAGCAGCAATGGGAGGCCATACAGCACCCTATGACAAAATGGAACCACCAGCAGTGTGAGGAGACCTGAAAGTGGCACATGGCAGAGTGTGGCGATGGAGACAGCAGCAATGGGAGGCCGTACAGGGACCCATGACACACTCTGGACCTGGCAGCAGCATGAGGAGGCGGTACAGGGGCCCATGACAGATTACGGGCCTGGCAGCAGCATGAGGGAGTCGGTACGGGGGCCTATAGCAGATTACGGGCCTGGCAGCAGCAATAGGAGGCCGTACAGGGACCCATGACACACTCTGGACCTAGCAGCAGCATGAGGAGGCGGGGGTACAGGGGCCCATGACAGATTACGGGGCCTGGCAGCAGCATGAGGAGTCGGTACGGGGGCCCATGGCAGATTACGGGCCTGGCAGCAGCAATGGGAGGCCGTACAGGGACCCATGACACACTCTGGACCTGGCAGCAGCATGAGGAGGCGGTACAGGGGCCCATGGCAGATTAGGGGCCTGGCAGCAGCTATGGGAGGCCCGTAATCTGCCAGCATCCTATGACAAAATGGAACCCACAGGAGTGTGAGGAGACCTGAAAGTGTCACATGGCAGAGTGTGGCGATGGAGACAGCAGCAATGGGAGGCCGTACAGGGACCCATGAGACACTGTGGACCTGGCAGCAGCATGAGGAGGCGGTACGGGGGCCCATGGCAGATTAGGGGCCTGGCAGCATCTATGGGAGACGCCCGTAATCTGCCAGCACTCTATGACAAAATGGAACCCAGCAGCAGTGTGAGGAGACCTGAAAGTGGCACATAGCAGAGTGTGGACGATGGAGACAGCAGCAATGGGAGGCCGTACAGGGACCCATGAGACACTGTGGACCTGGCAGCAGCATGAGGAGGCGGTACAGGGGCCCATGGCAGATTACAGGCCTGGCAGCAGCAATGGGAGACGCCCGTAATCTGCCAGCAACCTATGACAAAATGGAACCCAGCAGAGTGTGAGGAGACCTGAAAGTGGCACATAGCAGAGTGTGGCGATGGAGACAGCAGCAATGGGAGGCGGTACAGGGACCCATGAGACATTGTGGACCTGGCAGCAGCATGAGGAGGCGGTACAGGGGCCCATGGCAGATTAGGGGCCTGGCAGCAGCAATGGGAGACGCCCGTAATCTGCCAGCAACCTATGACAAAATGGAACCCAGCAGGAGTGTGAGGAGACCTGAAAGTGGCACATGGCAGAGTGTGGACGATGGAGACAGCAGCAATGGGAGGCCGTACAGGGACCCATGAGACACTGTGGACCTGGCAGCAGCATGAGGAGGCGGTACAGGGGCCCATGGCAGATTAGGGGCCTGGCAGCAGCAATGGGAGACGCCCGTAATCTGCCAGCAACCTATGACAAAATGGAACCCAGCAGGAGTGTGAGGAGACCTGAAAGTGGCACATGGCAGAGTGTGGCGATGGAGACAGCAGCAATGGGAGGCGGTACAGGGACCCATGAGACACTGTGGACCTGGCAGCAGCATGAGGAGGCGGTACGGGGGCCCATGGAAGATAAGGGGCCTGGCAGCAGCAATGGGAGACGCCCGTAATCTGCCAGCAACCTATGACAAAAATGGAACCCAGCAGGAGTGTGAGGAGACCTGAAAGTGGCACATGGCAGAGTGTGGAGATGGAGACAGCAGCAATGGGAGGTGGTACAGGGACCCATGAGGACACTGTGGACCTGGCAGCAGCATGAGGAGGCGGTACAGGGCGCCCATGGCAGATTAGGGGCCTGGCAGCAGCAATGGGAGACGCCGTAATCTGCCAGCAACTATGACAAAATGGAACCCAGCAGGAGTGTGAGGAGACCTGAAAGTGGCACATGGCAGAGTGTGGCGATGGAGACAGCAGCAATGGGAGGCGGTACAGGGCCCATGAGACACTGTGGACCTGGCAGCAGCATGAGGAGGCGGTACGGGGGCCCATGGCAGATTAGGGGCCTGGCAGCAGCTATGGGAGGCCTGTAATCTGCCAGCATCCTATGACAAAATGGAACCCAGCAGGAGTGTGAGGAGACCTGAAAGTGGCACATGGCAGAGTGTGGCGATGGAGACAGCAGCAATGGGAGGCGGTACAGGGACCCATGAGACACTGTGGACCTGGCAGCAGCTAGAGGAGGCGGTACGGGGGCCCATGGCAGATTAGGGGCCTGGCAGCAGCTATGGGAGGCCTGTAATCTGCCAGCATCCTATGACAAAATGGAACCCAGCAGGAGTGTGAGGAGACCTGAAAGTGGCACATGGCAGAGTGTGGCGATGGAGACAGCAGCAATGGGAGGCGGTACAGGGGACCCATGAGACACTGTGGACCTGGCAGCAGCTAGAGGAGGCGGTACGGGGGCCCATGGCAGATTAGGGGCCTGGCAGCAGCTATGGGAGACGCCCGTAATCTGCCAGCAACCTATGACAAAATGGAACCCAGAAGCAGTGTGAGGAGACCTGAAAGTGGCACATGGCAGAGTGTGGCGATGGAGACAGCAGCAATGGGAGGCGGTACAGGGACCCTTGAGACACTGTGGACCTGGCAGCAGCATGAGGAGGCGGTACAGGGGCCCATGGCAGATTAGGGGCCTGGCAGCAGCTATGGGATGCCTGTAATCTGCCAGCATCCTATGACAAAATGGAACCCAGCAGGAGTGTGAGGAGACCTGAAAGTGGCACATGGCAGGGGCATGATTCATGGCGGATTTAGTCAGTTGTGTCAGGAAACTGGTGGTTTGAAATCCAGACTAATCCACGCCTGATTCATTTTCACAAACGTGAGTCTCTCCACACTTTAGGTGGACAGTCGTGTCCTCCGCGGAGTTACAATACCTCCTGCCGCACTAAACACGTGCTCCGATGCCACGCTACTGGCCGGGCATGACAGCCTTTCAAGGGCAAATTCAGCTAGTTGGGGCCAAAGGTCAAGTTTCGTTGCCCAGTAGTCAAGGGGATTGTCTACCTTGGTTGGCAGGGTGCTGTCCAAGTAGGCCCAAGCCTGTTGTTTGAGCTCCTGCTCCAGGTCCACCTGATGCTGCTGCTGCTGCTGCTGCTGCGGCTGGTTAGTAGTTTCCTCACTGCGCTGGTGAAGAAAGCTACTTATCATCGACTGCAGACTGAGGCAGCCGCTGCTGGTGGAGCTGCTACTGCCTCTACCACCCCACCCCTCCCCAGCTGCCATGGCAGCGGAACGCGAGCGCACAGGGCCCACAGTGTCTGAGGATGGACGCTGGCGCAGAAAGGCAGAGACCAACTGACTACATAGGTGGTTTTTATAGTACGTTATTTTGGCCTCCCTCTCAGCAGGTATGAAAAAGGCCACCATTTTGGAACGGTAGCGAGGGTCCAACAAGGTGGACAGCCAAAAGTCATCCCTCTGTCTGATGGTTATTATTCGGCTGTCGCTACGCAAGCAACCGAGCATGCTATGGGCCATTTGTGCCAAGGAATGCGAGGTACTCCCTGCCTCCATCTCCACAGCATACTGCCACGGTGCGTCTGGGTCCTCTGTCTCCTCCTCCTCTACCAGATGCTCCTGCTCCTCCACTCCTGTCCGCTGAGTGGAAAAACCACCCATTTCACTCAATAATTCCTGAGCACCAATGTCCTCCTCTACCTCCTCCTCTTCTTCCTGTCCTGCCCCCACAGGGGTCATGTGGCGTTGAGATCTGTGCGCCACGTCTACCGCACCCTGACCAGCCATTGTTAACAGCATTTTTTCCAGGACGTGCAACAGAGGAATGACGTCGTTCATCCCATAGTCCTGCCGACTCACGAATAGCGTGGCCTCCTCAAAGGGCCTGAGCAAGCGGCAGGTGTCACGCATGAGCTGCCAATGGCTGACATCTAAGTTACACAGGGGAGTACCTTTATCCGCTTGTAACATCAGGAAATCGGTGATGGCCTTTCGCTGCTCGTAAAGGCGGTCTAACATGTGTAGGGTTGAATTCCACCTTGTTGCAACGTCACAGATCAGGCGATGCTGTGGAATTCCGTTCTGCCGCTGCAGCTCAAGGAGGGTGTGCTTTGCGGTGTAGGAATGGCTGAAATGCATGCAAAGTTTACGTGACATTTTAAGGATGTCTTGCAGTGGGATGGTGGATTTTAGGAACCGCTTGACAACCAGATTGAACACGTGAGCCATGTATGGCGCATGGCACAACCTTCCTTGACGCAGAGCAGACACCATGTTCTTTCCGTTGTCGGTCAACATGGTTCCGATTTTCAGTTTGCGCGGAGACAGCCATCTGTCGATTTCTCTGTTCATTACACTCAGAAGTTCCTCCCCTGTGTGACTACGTTCGCCAAGCCATACCAGGTGCAGCACAGCGTTACACCGTTGCGCCTTGCACATGTGATATGCCGGTCGGGTAATGGGACTTGGCACGGGGGTGGCGGCTGAGGACACGGCGGAAGAAGAGGTGGTAGAGGCGGACATGTTTGCTGGACCAAGGACGTGCAAACGTGGAGGCAAAAGCATCGTGACCTGTCCAAGTTGCTGGTGCGGCAGTGCCGGCACCACGTTCACCCAGTGGCCGTAAATGACATGTACTGTCCCTGACCGTAGTTACAGCTCCACACGTCGGCGCTGCCGTGCACTTTGGCAGAGACCGACATGCTCAAAGACTGGCCCACCATCTCTTCTACATGTGAATGCAGGGCTGGCACTGCCTTTTTGGCGAAGAAATGCCGGCTTGGCACTCTCCACAGCGGCGCGGCACAAGCCATCATTTCTCGGAAAGGTGCTGAGTCCATCACTTGGAAAGGGAGGGACTGCAGCACCAGCAACTTGGACAGGAGGACGTTCAGCTCTTGCACCGTCGGGTGCGTGCTCGCAAACTGTTGTCTCTTGGAAACGGATTCCAAGAAAGACTGCTGACGGAATCCGTGAAGAGGAGTAGCAGGAGAAGGAGCATCTGAACGAGCGGAAGATGCCAACGAACGACAACTCCCCTCAGCAGAGGTGTTGGAGCCTTGACTGGCTGATAGAGGGCGATTGACATCGGGTGACGGAGCAAGTAACGGAGCGGGTGGTGGGGTGGGGGCTTATCACGGTTTTCCCAGGCCACCAAATGGCGACGCTGCATATGCTGACGCAACGCTGTAGTCCCAACATGGGCCCCCTGCCACGCTTGACTTTCTGGCCACATAGTCGACATACGGCTACGTTTACTTCCTCGGGCGGCTAGAGGAAAAATTGCCACACCGCCGAGTAGGAAACATTGCCCCCGCTACTCCTCACTGGCTGACTGCTACTACTTCCACCGTGCACACCGGCACCACTACTGGCCGTGGTGGTAGGCTGCAGTGGAGCTGGTGCTCCGTGGCCGTTTGCCTCCACTGACACTGCTGCGACCCTGCTGCCTCCTGGCCAACCCACCGACTGTTTTTGCTCGCTGCCAAGCTGGCACCACCCTCTTATCCTGATGATGTGGAAGAAATTGCCTGATGACGACGAGGCTGCCAAGTG